CCCCCCCCCCCCCCCCCACCGCGTGCCCCTGCAGCTGAGTGGCAGTCAGGGGCGGAGCCGAGGCCCCAGAGCCCTCTCCAGGAGGGGCTGCCGCCTCCCCAGCCCCCTGTGGGCAGACCCCGTGTGTGTCGGCTGTCACTCATCCCCCCACAGCATCCAGCATGCACGGGCTGGGCCTCACAGTGTAGCTGAGTGGCCGGCCAGCAGCTGCCTGTCTGTCCGTGTGGCCAGCCCATGCAGCAACCACGGGGCTGACACCACCCGCTGAGCCTTTTGTGCTTGGCTTCTGGGGGCCCCACGAAAATGCGCAGCGGTGTGTCTGCAGCCGCCAGGAGGGGGCGCCCCGGGGAAGTGCCTGCAGGTGCCGGGGCCCCTGCTGTGTCCCTGTGAGCACTGGGCAAGGGCTCCTGCCCCTGGGGGTGCACGGGCACAAGGTGTGCATCGCGTGCAGGCCCTCGGGCTCACAGGCATCCGCGGCGAGGGTTGCAGGCAGGGGTCCAGCGACAGAGGCCGGTTCCGGCAGCACTGTGGGGTTGCAGCTTTGCCAGCGGCCATGTTTTTCTTGCTTGCCTTTTTTTTTTTTTTTTTTAAGATTTTTATTTATTTCTCTGAGAGGCAGAGTTACAGACAGAGAGGGAGAGACAGAGAGAGAGGTCTTCCATCCACCGGTTCACTCCCCAGATGGCCACAACAGCTGGAGCTGAGCTGATCTGAAACCAGGAGCCAGGAGTGTCTCCCACATGGGCACAGGGGCCCAAGCACTTGGCCATCTTCCACTACTTTCCCAGGCCATAGCAGAGAGCTGGATTGGAAGTGGAGCAGCCGGGACTTGAACCGGCACCCACATGGGATGCCGGCACTGCAGGTGGAGATTAGCCCACTACGCCACAGTCCCGGCCCTGCCTCTGGCCATTTCTAAGACTTCTCTCCGGGTTTTGTATGTTTCCCTTTCTCCTGCCTTCTTGGGGATTTCGCCTCTCACAAAACCGGTCCGTGCCAGAGTCGGATGCCTCGTTCACACAGCGTGGATGTCGCTTCTCTTTCTGCCTTTCCCTGCCAGACGTGGGGGGAGCGTGCGGGAAGGGGAAGGTGCTGCGGTCATCATGGTCTCGGGCAGCCTTCGCGGGAGCAGCCCCGCAGCCCACGCCAGCTCTCCCTTCTTTCAGACTTTGTCGCTGTAAGAAAAGTCCCGAGAAGGGGTTACAAGGTCCATGGCTCCTTCTGGAAGCGCCACCGTGGCCCCGGCAGTGGTCTCTCAGGCCCCCGAGCCCCAGGAACTGGCGCATGTCCTGTGGTGTGGGGAGGCGCCGGGAGTGCCGGGGTGACCGGAACGTGTCGGCTGCACCCCGTGTCCTTGAAGCTCAGCCAGTGCAGGCAGCAGCCCTGCCCTGCCTCTTTGGTTTCAGGTTTGGATGCTGACTGGCGACAAGCTGGAGACGGCCACGTGTACGGCCAAGAACGCCCACCTGGTGACCAGAAACCAGGATATCCACGTGTTCCGGCTGGTAAAGCCTGCTCTGGGTGGGGCCGTGGGAGGTGTGGGTCTGCCCTGGGGTCTGCCCTGTAGCCTCCTCCCCTCCAGGGAACCCGGGAGACCGGGGTGGGGGAGGCGCACATTAAGCACCTGGGGTCCGGCAGGCCGGGCACGTGGCTGGTTTGGGCAGGACCACGTGGTGACCCTGGAGCGGGTGCAGGGGTTCTTCCACTGGTTAGGGGCTCCTTGCCGTGGCCCTGGGTTAGGGCTGTGCTCATCGCATCCGGGCGCAGCAGGGTCCACTTTGAGAAGCTGGTGAGAGTTAGGCACTGCCCCCGACCCATGCAAGTCAGCTGTGCACGGGACTCCCAAGGCGTCGCTGACCTCCCGCGGCCATGGCCTTGGCTAAGAAGCAAATGCCAGGCTGTCTGCCCTCCTGAAGGGGAGTGCGTGGGGAGCTTCTTGAAGGAGGGGAATTGGATGGCCCACGAGCAAGTGGCCGCTCTTGTGGCAAGCTCTTGACCGCGTCGGGAGTGGCTGCCTGGGGGACTGTCCTGGGCTCAGGCGTTTCGGGGTCTCCCTCTCTCCTGCCTTTGACCTTCAGCACCTAAGAGCTGTGGGAAATCCAGCGATTTTTGGGACAGCGCAGGGTTGTGTGCAGACCCTGTGTTTGCGGATTTGCCGACTTAGAATTACTTGTGACCTCAGCATCCGCACACGAGACCCCTTCATGGTCTCGCGAGAGGCAGAGAGGTGAAGAATTGTAGTTGCTGTGCCGCGTGCATCTCTGGCTGGGGTTGACCACAAGGCCCGCTCTGCCTGCTGGGGCTGGCTCTCGTGCTGGAGCCACGGCCGTCCGTTTGGGCATCGGATGTTTTGCATTTGGGTGCTTTTTGCCAGCTCTGACTTTGCAGCGGGGGTGCCGCGGAGCCCAGCAAGGCTGCAGTGCGCCGTCATCTCCTCACCTGTTCCCTTCCAGGTGAGCAACCGCGGAGAGGCCCACCTGGAGCTGAACGCCTTCCGTAGGAAGCATGACTGTGCTCTCGTCATCTCGGGAGACTCCTTGGAGGTGGGCGTGGGCCCGCGAGCCTCTCTCTGTGGGGCGGGGTCGTGGGGGGGGGCTCCTTGGAGGTGGGCATGGGCCCGCGAGCCTCTCGCTGTGGGGCGGGGTCGTGGGGGGGGGCTCCTTGGAGGTGGGCGGGGCCTCGCGAGCCTCTCAACTGTGGGGCGGGGTCGTGGGGGGGTTCCTTGGAAGTGGGCGGGGCCCCCACAAGCCTCTTGCTGTGGGCGGGGTTGTGGGGGGCTGGGCAGTGACAGGGCCGGCCCGCCGCGCCCTCCCCAGGTGTGTCTCAAGTACTATGAGTACGAGTTCATGGAGCTGGCCTGCCAGTGCCCGGCCGTGGTCTGCTGCCGCTGCGCCCCCACCCAGAAGGCCCAGATCGTGCGCCTGCTGCAGGAACGCACCGGGAAGCTCACCTGTGCAGTAGGTATGCTCACCTGCGCTGCTGGCCCCGGCCCGCGGTGCCCTGGGTTCTAGGACAGGCTAGCTAGATCGGCTGCCAGTCGTCCGGTTGCGAACCCCGAGGCGGCTCCCTATGAACGTCAGCCGTTCCTGATCCCGATCCCGTTTGTGTTAATTTCCCTTTAGGGAGCAGGTCAGGAGGTGTGAGGGCCCCTCCTCCTCTGCTGGGGGCGGGAAGAGGGGTTCAGACCCCACCCTGAGCCCCGGGGCCTGCGTTCCAAGACCTCTGCTACCCCCTCCCCCGCTGCCTCCCCCGCCTTCCTCCCCTGTCTGAGCCTTGGTTTGCTCATCCGTAGCACGAGAGCCATGCTACCGCTTTCCTCCTGGGGGCTCACAGGGCTGAACGGGGTCCCACTTGAAACACCCTTGCCGCCGTGCACGGTGCCTGCCCAGAGCAGGCTGTGCTGGGCGGCCTTGGTGAAGGCTGTGTAGACGCAGCCCCAGTGCCACCACCGCCCCACGGAAGGGCAGGGCCTGGGCACTGCTGCACGGGAGGCCCCACGGGACAGCCGCCTCCCCTCTGCCCGCCTGCAGGTGATGGGGGCAATGACGTCAGCATGATTCAGGAGTCCGACTGCGGCGTGGGCGTGGAAGGCAAGGTGAGCTCCTTCCCGCTGCTCGGCCCCTCCCGTCCTCCCCTTCCCCCACGGACTTGGCCGTGGAGCTCCTGGGGTTCCCGGAGAATTACCCTGGGCATCACGGTGTCCTATCACCCAGGAGTCCCGGACCTGTCCCCTGTGGCTCGCGGACAGACGGACGCTGACTATTCACTGGCAAAACCTGTTTCTTTCGATTTTCTGTCGCCTTGCGTACAGCAAATGCACTGTGCTCAGCAGGGTCCGCGGAAGCCCCCAGTGTCCTGGGTGTGCCCACGTTGGCGGGTGGGAGAATGTGGCCCAGTTCCCTCCTCCCTGGGAGGCCCTGGCAGCTGCAGTTTCTGTTTGTTTATTTGAAAGAGTGACGGGGTCGGGGGAGACATCTGGTTTGCTCCCCAAATGGCTGCAACAGCCAGGACTGGGCCAGGAGGAAACCGTCCTAGGCCACGTATGTGCCGGGTGCCCGGGTACTTGGGACGTCTTGCACTGTCTTCCCGGGCACATTAGCAACAAGCTGCATTGGCAGTGAAGTGGCCAGGACTTGAACCCATGCTCACGTGAGACGCCGACATCGCAGACAGCAGCTTAACCTGCCATGCCACAGCACTGTGTCTAGCTGCAACTTGCAAAATCTGTGTGTGTGTGTTTTATTTTAATTTTTAATTTGACAGGTAGAGTTATAAACAGAGAGAGAGAGACAGAGAGAAAGGTCTTCCTTCTGTTGGTTGACTCCCCAAATGGCCGCTATGACCCGAGCCAATCCGAAGCCAGGAGCCAGGTGCCTCCTCCTGGTCTCCCATGCTGGTGCAGGGCCGAAGCACCCAGGCCATCCTCCACTGCACTTCCAGGTCACAGCAGAGAGCTGGACTGGAAGAGGAGCAACTGGGACAGAATCCGGCGTCCATATGGGATGCCAGCGCTGCAGGCAGAGGATTAACCTAGTGAGCCACGGCGCTGGCCCCATGTGTATTGTTTTAAAGATTTATTTACTTATTTATTTGAAAGTCAGAATGAGAGAGGTCTGCCATCTGCTGGTTCACTCCCAAAATGGCTGCAACAGCTGGGGCTGGGCCAGGTTGAGGTCAGGAGCCTGGAGCTTCCTTGGGGTTTCCCACTTGGGGGGCAGGGGCCCAAGTACTTGGGCTACAGTCCGCTGCTTATCCACAGGGGGGTGGATCAGAAGTGGAGCAGCCGGGACTCGAACCAGTGCCCATACGGAAGGCAGCTTTACCTGCTACGCCACAGTGCCGACCCCAAGTCTGTGCATTCTAAAGTGACTTTTCCCTCTCTCCTTCCTTGTCAGCTGCGTGCTTGCCTCCTAATAATGTACTGTGCGCGCTCTAATTTTTTTGATCTTTAAAGACGGTTGGTCTCGCGTGTGCTACAGCTGCGTGTGCGGTAGCAGTACGAGGCTCTGCCTCAGCACCAGCGTAGCCCATCTCCGAGAATCCGGCCAGTCCCTGGTGTTTTCCTGTGTCCTTGCCCTTTCTGGCCGTCTGGTCCTCCGGCCAGACGGCGGTGTTGTAAAGCTGCCGCGTGACGTGGCTGTCGGGCGAGGTGTTCCGTGTGAAGTGTGCATGGACCCTGGACGGAGCCGTGCAGGACACCTGAGTTTAAGAGGATTCTCCGCCAGGTTCTCTGTAGGATTAGAACATCTCCCCCAGGGGCTGCGTGCGGCGCTGGGGCTGGCGTGCGGCACTGGGGGTCAGGTTGCCGCCTGCAACGCTGGCATCTCAAGTCCCAGCTGCTTTGCTTTCCATTCAGTTGCACGCTAAGGCGCCTGGGAAAGCATAAGAGGACGGCCCAAGTCCTTGGGCCCTGCCACCGAGGTGGGGGACCCGGATGGAGCTCCTGGCTTTGGCCTGACCCAACCCCAGCCGTTGCGGCCATCTGGGGAGTGAACCAGCAGATGGAAGACCTCTCTGTGTCTGTGTCTCCCTCTTTCTCTATAACTCGGCCTTTCAAATAAATCTTGAAAAAATTTTTTCCGTTCTATTAGGATATTGCATTCCGATTGCTCTTTCAGAGTAGAAAAGCGCTCACGGTGGAAAATTAAAGCCGCATGGAAATACGGTGCGTCCTCGCAGGTCAGCCACGTCGAGCTTGGAACGCAGCCGCTCTCCCGGGGCCTCGGCTGTGTGTGTGTGTGTGTGTGTGTGTGCTGTGTGTGTTCTATACACGTGTCCTACACGGGCACACACGATTTCCGCGTGTGAATTGTAAATGAAGCGCCATCTCTGCCCCGTGTCGCGTGTCCCCTCGCGCCAGTGCCTCGTGACTTCCTGTCTGCATCAGGGCACACAGTCATCCCTTCAGGTTTGAGAAAGGTCTGGTCTCCTCTGCTTCACACAGAGGGAGAGGTCTTCCATCTACTGGCTCACTCCCCAAAGGCCTGCGACGCCTGGGGCTGGGCCAGGCCAGGACTGGGAGCCAGGAGCTCCATCTGGGTCTCCCTTGCCAGTAGCAGGGGCCCAAGCACTCGAGCCGTCCTCTGCTGCCTTCCGGGACGCATTGGCAGGAAGCTGGATAGGACGCAGAGATGGGACTTGGGCCAGTCCCTCGACGCAGGATGGGGGCGCCCCAGTGCTGTCTTCACCTGCCGTGCCCCAGCACCTGCCCACAGCCGTCACTTCCTACCCTCTCTGTGACTTTACTTTGCTACAGAGAGACAGAGAGTGAGAGAGAGAGAGAAGTCTTCCATCTGCTGGTTCACTCCCCAGTTGGCCACAACGGCCGGAGCTGCACCAATCCAAAGCCAGGAGCCAGGAGCTTCTTCCAGGTCTCCCACACAGGTGCCCAAGCACTTGGGCCATCATCTACTGCTTTCCCAGCCACAGCAGAGAGCTGGATCGGAAGTGGAGCAGCCAGGTCTTGAACCGGTGCCCATATGGGATGCCGGTGCTCCAGGCCAGGGCATTGACCCACTGCACCACAGTGTGCCTCTAAATCATAAATCTAAACAACAACAACAACAAAACCCTGCAGCCTGGAGCTCTTGTTCTCGTCATCAGCAGTGGAGCAGTGTCACCTCCCCAGCGGTGACGCTGACGCGGTGGTTCCATGGACTGCGCAGTCACATTTCCCTGGTTGTCCCCAGGATGTCTTCAGAGTTACAAAGAGCTCCAGGCCACAAGCTGCGTTCATTAGTGTTTCTGTGTCTCTTTCATCTTTAATGTGAAACACGTTTCTCCAGCAGGCGGGGCAGGGCGGGGCGGGGCTGGGCGGGGTCGTTGTTCGTGACTTTAGCGTTTCTGGAGCCTTCCAGACAGTTGTAGACGGTCGCGGGCCTGCTGCGCGGGCGGGTTTGACTCAGACTCTGTGGAGTGGGGACCCGGGCAGCGGGATTTGTGTTCTTCCTGCTGCCCGTCTGTCCGCTGTCGGCCTCCACTGTGTACCTTTTCCAAGGGGGGAATCCATCGCACAGTTGCACCGTAACTTCGTCCCGCTGGGACCAGTGCAGAGCTGAACATCCCGGAACATTCCACTGAGTGTTGTCAGAGGCATTTTTTTTAACTGTTAGGAGACCTGAATGTTATACATCAACTCTTTGATTTTGCACAATTCTTTAATTCTGATACGCATTATGGGATGGCTGAACCCCTGGGGCTTAATACCACACTCATTTACCTCCCAATTGTAACCATGATGTAGAATGTTTTTTATTTAAATAAATTCCTCTTTTTTAATCAGATCTTGACTTGGACCACCAACTGCACACAACTTGAAACCAAAGATTCTCTTTACTGACGTTCTTCAAAGGCCTCCTCACGGTGTCTTACTTTCCAATTAAAGGAAAGCGTGTTTGCCCTGGCTGCTCGTTCTTCTGACGGCGCCCAATTCTGTTGAATCGCAGGAAGGAAAACAGGCTTCGCTGGCTGCAGACTTCTCCATCACTCAGTTCAGGCACCTTGGCCGCTTACTCATGGTGCACGGCCGGAACAGCTACAAGCGCTCAGCTGCCCTCAGCCAGTTCGTGATCCACAGAAGCCTTTGTATCAGCACCATGCAGGTGGGTGGGCAGCGGGCAGTGTGCACAGGTGCGTGTGGCTACACCATGCAGGCGGGTGGGCAGCGGGCAGTGTGCACAGGTGCACGGACTGCACTCACAGGCAGGCGGGTGGGCAGCGGGCAGTGTGCACAGGTGTACGGACTGCACTCACAGGCAGGCGGGTGGGCAGCGGGCAGTGTGCACGGGTGCACGGACTGCACTCACAGGCAGGCGGGTGGGCAGCGGGCAGTGTGCACAGGTGCACGGACTGCACTCACAGGCAGGCGGGTGGGCAGCGGGCAGTGTGCACAGGTGCACGGAACTGCAGTCACAGGCAGGTGGGTGAGCAGCGGGCCGCAGCACGGGTGCACAGAACTGCACTCACAGGCAGGCGGGTGGGCAGCGGGCCGCAGCACAGGTGCACAGACTGCACTCACAGGCAGGTGGGTGGGCAGCGGGCCGCAGCACAGGTGCACAGACTGCACTCACAGGCAGGCGGGTGGGCAGCGGGCAGTGTGCACAGGTGCACGGACTGCACTCACAGGCGGGTGGGCAGCGGGCAGTGTGCACAGGTGTACGGACTGCACTCACAGGCAGGCGGGTGGGCAGCGGCCCGCAGCACAGGTGCACCCGGCTTTCGGGTTATCATGGACGAGGCCTGGAATCAGAATATGCTCTGAGTTGTTACCCTACCCCAGCCGGTTTAGATACCCACCCTGGCCACCTTCAGCTGAGAGCCCTTGGGGAAGTCGCTGTCCCTCTGGGTGCCCCAGCCCCCTTCTTGTTGGCAGGGAGGGGTGTATGGAGTTGATGTGAGCATTAGGGTGCTTGGTGTGGAGTGTGTGTGTGTGTGTGTGTGTGCGTGTGTGGGGGGGTGATGAGAGTTGTGACTGAGACTGAGTAGTTACAGCTGGCTTGCCTGAGTGAGCAAGGCAGAGTTAGATGCCCAGTGCCTACACCAGCCTGGTTCTCACACACATGGGAGAGGGCTCATAGGGGTAACCGTCTGGCGTACTTCCCACACCCAGGGCGTTGGGCTGTGTCCCTGCGAGTCTCACGGTAGCCTGAGCCCATCTTACAGATGGGGAGGCTGAGGCTGGTTCAGGTGAGAGCTTGTGCAGTGTCCCCCGGGGGTTTGGTCTGCTGGGCCCCGTGCTCCCCGTCATAACCAGCGTCCCCTCCTCCAAAGCCCTCCCACGGTCGGCTCATGGCTCACGGCCCCCTGCAGGCCTGGCTGGGCGCTGAGCTCTGTGGCGGACTGTTAGTACGCTGGAGATGAACGTCTGTGGGCATCCTGCTCTTCCACCAGGGGTTCTAGAGCGAGCGAGATGTTCTCCCACCTCCCCTCTCGCCGGCTTACCCAGAATCTGTCATCAGGCTGTCGCAATTGAGTGAGTGTTAGGCAGGAGGCCAGAGGCAGGGAAGGGAAACCCTCCGGGTGCTGAAAAGCTATTGCTGGACTTTCCTGCCGGGCCCCGAGGTGCCAGCACCCCCGGGGAAGCGGTGAGGGCTTGGGCAAGATGGGTCCTGGAACCTGCGTCTCCTCCTTATTGGACCCCTGAGGACTCGGAGCGGGTCACTTCCCCACCCCAGAACTCAGTCTTTCCACCTGCAGTGTGGGGAGAAGATCCACGTCGTCCTCAGCCACGACCACTTGGAAAAACCGTGTTCTCTGAGCATCAGAGCTTCAGGCCCCCCCCCCCCTACTGTGAGAGTCGCAGGTGAAAGGCAGGCCAGCTGGACAACCCCACGGAGGGCCCCCCCAGGCCTCCTCCGAGCCCTTGGGGCGGTTTTATGTTTCAGAATCTATTGTATTTGTGAGTGGAGGGACCTTAGAGCGATTTCCATCAAAATCATCCAAAGCCAAATAGCTGGCACAGTTCCTTAGCCCACATCTGTATGTTTAATTTATGCTAATTCGTCGATTGAACTGGGGCCTGCTGTGGTTTCAGTGACTGGGAGAGGATCAGCCGGGAGCCGACCTCTGCAGGGCTCGGGAGAGCACTGGAGGGAGAGGCCTTGCTCTCGGTGCCGGTGCCGTGGCCGCCTGCGTCCCTCCCCATCCACCCACGTCCCCCTCTCCGCGTCCCCTCTCTGCTGTGCTGAAATGGCCGTGGGGAGCAAGCCCCCGATGGAGCTGCCCCAGGCCCGGGTAGACTCGGGCACACTGTTCCAGTTTTCCCCCAGTGCTCTTCTTCTAGGGAAAGTTAATTTTTTTAATGTTTGTTTATTTACATATCCTTGAAAGAGTGACAGACACCTTCTACCCGCTGGCTCCTCAAAGGCCAAATGCCTGCAGCAGGCAGGGCTGGGCCAGGCTGAGCCAGGAGCCCGGAGCTCCATGGATGGGAGGGGCCCAGGACTCAAGGCATCATCTGCTGCCTCCCGGGGAGCTGGGGTGGGAGTAGAGGCGCGGCTACTCGAAACAGGGTGCACGCACCCCAAGTGGCAGCTTACCGCGCTGTGCACAGCGCTCCCCGTCCCGGGTGCTGCTGTTGGGATGCAGGATTTACCGTCAGCGTCAGGAAGGAGCTCCTGATGTGTTTTATATGGAAACAAAAGCAGTTCTCCAGGGCTTTTTGTTTTTTTAAAGATTTTATTTATTTGAGAGAGATGAGTTATAGACATTGAGAGAAAGAGAGAGAAGCCGGCGCCGCGGCTCACTAGGCTAATCCTCCGCCTTGTGGCGCTGGCACACCAGGTTCTAGTCCTGGTCGGGGCGCCGGATTCTGTCCCGGTTGCCCCTCTTCCAGGCCAGCTCTCTGCTGTGGCCAGGGAGTGCAGTGGAGGATGGCCCAAGTGCTTGGGCCCTGCACCCCATGGGAGACCAGGAGAAGCACCTGGCTCCTGGCTTCAGATCAGCGCGGTGCGCCGGCCGCAGTGCGCCAGCCGTGGCGGCCATTGGAGGGTGAACCAACGGCAAAAGGAAGACCTTTCTCTCTGTCTCTCTCTCTCTCACTGTCCACTCTGCCTGTCAAAAAAAAAAAAAAAAAAAAGGAGAGGTCTTCATCTGCTGGTTCACTCCCCAAATGGCCGCAATGGCCAGAGCTGTGCCAATCTGAAGACAGGAGCCAGGAGCTTCCTCCAGGTCTCCTGCGCAGGTGCAGGGGCCCAAGGACTTGAGCCATCTTCCACTGCTTTCCCAGGCCATAGCAGAGAGCTGGGTTGGAAGAGGAGCAGCCGGGTTTCGAACCGGCGCCCATATGGGATGCTGGCACTGCCGGCGGAGGATTAACCTACTGCGGCACAGCACCGGCCCCGCCTCCAGGGTTTTGACGTTTGTAGATTCCCTCCTGTGCCACGGTGCAGCCTGGGTGGGGAGTCCTGTGCTGCAGAGGTGGCTTTCCTGGTGCTGCCATTGCTGCCAGTCAGGCCCCAGGCTGCTCGTGGCCGTGTGCCAGGTGACATCTGCCCACTGTGTCCACTACAGGGGACGGGGCGGTGGCTCCGGCCAGCAGGAACAGGCTTTCGGTGATGCTTGTGCCTGGCCTCGCTTTGTTTTGTTTGTTTGTTTAAGATTTTATTTGAAAGGCAAAGTTACAGACTGACAGGCCTTCCATCCGCTGGTTCACTCCCCAAGTGGCCACAAGGACAGAACTGGGCCAGTTCAAAGCCAGGAGCCAGGAGCTTCTTCCAGGTCTCCCACATGGATGCAGGAGTCCAAGGACCCAGGCCATCTTCTACTGCTTTCCCAGGCCATAGCAGAGAGCGGGATTGGAAGTGGAGCAGCCGGGACTTGCACTGGCGCCCACATGGGATGCTGGTGCCGCAGGCAGAGGCTTAGTCCACTCCGCCAGAGCGCCGGCCCCATCGCTTTGGTTTCACAGAATAGAAACGAGCGTGGAGACGTCCGAGCTCCCGCCCACCCGTGGGCACCCGAGGAGGAGCTGGCAGAGGGCAGGGAGCCTCACCGGATCCCCGGGCTGCCCTCCGCTGCTGGCCCTGGTGTTTCCAAATCCAGAGGCGGATCTTCAGGGAGGGCCGGTCCGTGTCCTTGCTGCCACTGTCCCCCTGCAAGGGTGGCCTGTCTGTCACGTGCTCCTGCAGACGTGTCCCCAGATACGGCTACAGTAACGCAAGAAGGGACAGCGCCGCTGCTGTCCCCGCCGAGAACCTGGCGTGGAGACCGGAGGCCGCCATGCCACGTCTGTTTCCATCGGGTGCCGCCCGCTCACCGGCGCACGTTAGGAGTGTGGGCTCTGGGGGTCCGCAGGCCGAGTGCCGGCTCAGGTTCCCCTCTCGTGGCACCTGGGTGACGTCAGGTCTCGGTCTCGTGGACTGTTCTGGAGCTCTGCTGAGGTCACATGCAGAGCCTGGGGCTGTCACGTGGATGCGGAGCTGGGTTCCCCAGGTGTCACCCGTGAGCTGAGCACTCTGGGGCGGGATGCCTGCCTTGCAGGGCCTGTTTCCTCATCTGCGTAATGGGGGCGATGATGGCATCGATCCTGTCCAGGGTGCTGTGAGAATGACAGGCGCTGGCGCCCAGGGAGCACTGGTCACAGCATGCTGGCAGCGGGGTGCGGGGCAGGGGGTGCCGGCCGCTGTCTCCCCGCGGGCTGCCGGGGCTCCGGCCGGGCTCCTGCTGACGCCCTCCTCTCTCCCGGCACAGGCCGTCTTCTCCTCCGTGTTCTACTTCGCCTCCGTCCCCCTCTACCAAGGATTCCTCATCATCGGGTAAGGAAGCCGGGCAAGGCGGGAGCGTTTGACAGGACTGCTCGCGAGTGCCGCCGTGAGAGCAGAGACCCTGCGCGGGGACCCTCAGGTGTGGGGAGCAACCGGACTGGACTGAGTTACTGGAATTAGGACTTATTCTATGCATCTGCTCTCCCACAATATGGCGCTGGGAGAGAAGTAAACAGCTTCCGCACAGCTGCCTCCAGTTCAACCAATAAACTGTAGGACTTGCTCCTGATTGGAGAGCAGCGTACTCGGCGTGTGGGCAGCCGAGTTAGGATTGGCGGAGGAGGACTATAAAGGAGGAGAGAGACGGCATGCACCAGGAACATCTATGGGGAACATCTAAGGGAACCCGTGCAGCCCCCGAGAGAACCGGCCGGCGGTGTGCCGCTCCCCTGCGGAAGTGGGGAATGCGGCCAGGGGGAACTGCCCTTCCACGGAGGTGGAAGGGATAGTAGCCAACCCGGGAAGAACCAGCAGCAAACCCGGGGAGGGCCGAGCAGACGAAAGAACAGCGCAGGGTCCTGTGTCGTTCCTCCACGAAGAGGGGGAGCGACATAATGGTGCCGTGACTCGGATATGAAGCCTAGGCAGGGTTTGGTGTCGTTCCTCCACGAAGAGGGGGAGCGACACTCAGGGCCCCAGGGGACGCGGGGGGCGGGGGGTGGATTTGCACCATGTGGTCCAGAGTTCTCCACGCTAGGCTGGAGGTGTTGCCACCGCGAGAGCAAGACAGGGGTTCATGATGCCACCAGGGTCCTCGGAAGAGGGAAGGGTCTGAAGACGCCCTCTCGGCCACTGCTGAGCCCTGCAGAACGCCCTGCCGTCAGTGCTCACGGGAGGCCAGAGCTCGCTGTCACAGGCCGTGTGCACAGACAGAGCCTACTCTCAGGGGCTGTGTGCACAGACAGACAGAGCCTGCTCTTGCGGGCCGTGTGCACAGACAGAGCCTGCTGTCGTGGGCCGTGTGCACAGACAGAGCCTGCTCTCGTGGGCCGTGTGCACAGACAGAGCCTGCTCTTGTGGGCCGTGTGCACAGGCAGAGCCTGCTCTCATGGGCTGTGTGCACAGGCAGACAGAGCCTGCTCTCACGGGCCGTGTGCAGACAGCACCTGCTGTCGTGGGCCGTGTGCACAGGCAGACGCCCTACAGCCCAGCTGTCCCAGGGTGAAGCTTCCCAGTGAGTGCTGCTGCTTCTCATGCAAACGCAGAGTCCTCAGCTGGGTCCTTGCAGAGTGAGGGAACATGCCGGAATGTAGTCAGGGCTCCCAGGCAGTGCCTCCTGCGACCTGCCGTGATCCGGCCCCGTCTTCCCTCTGGGTCCTCCTCTTCACCGCCGCCCTCAGCCCTGGCCAGCCAGGCCTCCTTTCTGTTGGGTGTGACGGCCACCCCCACCCCCAGGGCCTTGGCACTGGCTGTGCCTGCTGCCTGGGCTGCCGCCTGCTGCCCGTGGCCTGCTCCTCGGCCACCCTCTCTGAAATGCAGCCGAGTGTCCTCCTCGGCGGTGTCCGTGCGTGAGAGCTTGCTCACTTGCTGGGGAGCACTCACGGCCGCACGGGCGCTCTCAGGCTGTTTCTGCCTGTTTTTTGCCCGAGCCTCTGGGGCAAGAAGCCGGCCCTGGCACGTGCCAAGCGCCCCGCCAACAGTCAGTGGAGGAGGGAGCGGGAGCTGGGCTCCTGAGGCCGGCGG